ATGTATATATATATATATGTATATATAAATATATGTATATATGTCATTTTAATAATAATCATAATAAACATAAGGAGTACATTCGTATTCAAACAAGTGACATGTCGGTGTACTCGATTTAGCACTATGAAGGGAGGGATGAGAAATTCAAAGAGGCACAGTACAACAACGCTGAACGACGACCGCGTATACTATTCCGGTCTGAGGAGGACGACGAGAAGAGAAGAGCGTACACTCTACGCGAGAAATATAATAAGCACGCGCACTGACTAACCAATCGATACCGACGACTTGACTTGTCGCGCTGCGTGCGCGCGCAGCGCGTTCACATCCGCTAGTCGAATGTGAACAGACCCGATTAGAGGCGCTTAGACACACACGATTATTATTAGAATTATTAAGGAATTATTAGAATTATTACGACGATTGATCAGACTACCGGTATCCACTGCGTTGTGTTACGTGGGAGGTAAAAGAGTGTCGTACGTGGTGTATGACCGGCGACAGTGTTCTGCGGATTGTAGATGCTCAACGACACCTGAAAGTAACGGGTTGAATTTCGTACATTCAATAGACCGTAGGGCGCTTGGTCGCCCTTTTGCTGTGCATTCATGCCTCATTTTGTGCGGCGGAAACGTCATTTATATAAAAACCTAAACGTTTATTGGCTGTTAGGACAGCTGAAGTGGAATTCGCCCCGACGATTAAACAAATGGCAATTGTCGGACTAAATGGATGACGAAGGAAATATGATTTGAAAAACAACTTTATGGGCCTCACCTGAAACGCAAGTCGATCGATCATTACCAACGTCTGACGTCTTTCATGGCTCATCAAGCACACGGTGCTCTCGCTTACTACGCGATGCAGAAGCATCAGGAAGTCGTATTTAGCTTGACTTTGTGCCAGAATTGTCGAAGGTGCTTGGCTCGTTGACGCCTCCGAATCGGTTTCATCACCCGAGCTCGACCACTGAAATGTAGTGAATGAAAAAGTGGAACTTCCTCTGCCCATCAGTTTCTCTTGGGTTACGCCACGCATTACAATCTCGTTCACAACCTTGGTGTCATTTCAAGTTCAACTTGCCCCCTACGCTGACATTGGCGGTCCCACAAATGAGGTTTTCATCCTCGCAGATATCAGTTAACCGACACTGGGAAGCACTGGCTGCGCGATAGCCGAGTCGTGAACTAACATTTCGCA